CAGCAGGAACTACAGTCTACGCCAACACGACTTCATCTGCCTCTGGTTTCCCGTTAGTCTTCATTGACTTCCTCATGTGTTTTTATTCATTTTTCTTTTAGTTTATATCTTGTTTTAACAAGTGAAGTTCCCACAGAGAATTGATCAAGTCGTTTTGTCTCATTTGTAATTTATTTTTATTTCTTTTAAATATCAAACCTTTAACCATCTCGTAGGACGAGACTTCAGAAAAGTTGCTCAGGTGAAACCAAACCTGAATCGTCAGACCTGATGTTGACAAAAATAATGGAGCACCAACTAACCCAAAGAACAACGACCTCATAGAGAAACATGGAAACTGTTGAAGCTCTAAGAAATCCAGAAATTAAATCGTATAAAGTATATCGTTCTATCCTATCCAACAATAAAATAAAATATAAGAAGGCGGTGAATCTACAAACACACACACACACACACACACACACAGAGACAGATGTTCTGGTGTTCCTCTTCAGTCAGCCCAGGTTTGAGGACCATCACCTCCAGCACCTTTTCCTCTAAAACCTCTTTAACTCTTCCACTCAAACTGCTGCTCAGTCACGCTGCCATGGGGGACTCCATTAGTGTGGTCATGAGGAGACCCTCCCGTTTCTCACTTACAGCTAAGGCTGTCCACGCCAAGTTAAAGCGGCCCCCGTCGTCCCTATTACGACCCGGGAACGCTCCATCATGACGGATGCTACGGGGTCCCTCACTTGTCAGCAGTTGTCAGGCAGATCAGGGAGTGTGGATACACACAGCTGACAGGTAATCTTAATGTCTTCAATTAGTCCAATTAGGCCTGTCATAAACAATTCCAAAAGTGTGTGACCAACACAAACAGATGAATACACACACACACACACACCGGCGTGCACGCACCAGATGACCAGGTCTGCGGGGTATTAATGGGAAGGGTAATGGATAAATCAGTGGATGGTTGACTTGTCTTGACTTGCCCTCCCCCCCCCCAAACACACACACACACCTCTAACCCTCAGCCCAGCCTTTGCTCTCAGCTGTGAGCCGCTGGCTGCTACCTGGTCACTTTAAATTGTACCATCTCCTTTCATTAGCGCGTCACCGGATGAGAATCTGAAAGGCTGTGACAAAATTCATTTGTGGTGAGCGGGAGCAGATTGTCTAAAGCAGGTGCTATAAGGGAGATAAAACAAAGGCAGAGATGTGGGGTGTGTGTGTGTGTGTGAGAGAGAAGGGTTTTTCCTGGTCTTCACTTTCAGTTTATGTCCTTGCTATGGTAAATGGGTAATGACAGAAAAGTACTTCTGAAAAAAAGATGAGAACTAAAGAACAGGGACCAGAGAATAATGGTTCCACTGAACTCCTGGAGCGTTTACAAAAACTGTGGCCAAATCTAAATATTTTCTCTTGCGTGACTAAATAGGTCAACACCTCTGTGCGGCTGTGATGTGCGATAACTAACACTGTTTGATTTGCTCTCGCCTTCATAATATCTTATCGCAGAGCAGCGGTGACACCCACATTACATCATCAGCTCTTTGTCTTTAAATACTACTGCAGGGACTCACTATCAATTTATGTTGGGTTGTGTTTTTCACCCCAGGGAAACGAGATACATTTTAGTAACGTGTAATGGCTGAAGTTTTCAAACTGGAAGCCATGACACTGGTTAAGTCGACATCAGTTTTTGAGGTAGAATCAACTCATTCACATAAGTTAAAAACTTGACTAGAGATAAGATTACAACAAAAGTGGGTACACTAAGAAAATGTGCAAAAAATATTACATTTTGAAATGTACTTTAACATTATTTATAGGGAAAAAAAAAACAAACAAAATTAGGGATTTTAACTAGCAGCCAAATATTATTAGTTTGACATTAAGTGAATTGGCAAAAAATACCTTCAGTAAGAAAACTTAGTTTAATAATAGTTTTTTAATAGTTTATATTGTTTTGCCGATCGACTCATGACACATTTAAGAAAGATGACGAACAAAAGCTGGTGTTTGGAAATGAAACCCAAGACCTCAGCAAAGTTGGCCTCAGTATTTGAACGAGACCATGGATTGTGTCATGAGTTCATGAACTCTACCATGTTAAATCTGGTTAAAACTAGTTTTCAAACACTGAAGTGTGTTCCCTCCCAAGAAAAAAAAAAAAAGAAAAAGTAATTTAACGGAAAATATCTGTTTCCCAGTCTGCAAACCTGGCAATCAGCCTTTAATTCAGCATTATTTATTTATTTTTTTACAATTTGCACATCTAAAATATAAATAATAATAATATATGTATATATATATACATACATTGACAATAGAAGGCAGATCTTGACCACAGGCAGGTCATTAAAATTAAGATGGGAACCAATGAGATTCCAGGGAACAGATGTCAGACTGAAGAGAGCAAACATCTCTAAATCTCCATTTGAATCCACGTGGCTTCATGTGTCATGGCTGCAGGTCAGTTTGAATCCAACACTCAAATTAATTTAGTAGATGTTTGTACTTTTTGCCCTTAAGTCAAAATGGTAAAAACCGAGTTCATGTAACACTAAAATACTCCCAGAATGCCCGTAGCTTCATCGTTGGTCATTTTTTCTCTATTCCAACTTGTACACAATACATCACAAGCTGCAAATTCTAAATTCATCCCAGTGGTTGAATCTGACAATGTAAACAACTGTGAATTCATGTTCAACTAAATCACCGAGCCAACTTTTCTGGCAGAGGGATTTTATTTAACCAATAAAACATTTTAAATAGAACATGACAACATGACACGTTCTATCTTGAAAGTTTTCAAGTCATGTTTTCATTCAAAAAGTCATTCTGAGACATGGAAACAAAAACCAACTGCTCTGGGCAAATATCTGCGATGGACCTCAAATTCTTTATCCGATCTTTCCTCAGTGAAGGCTAGAATGGCAAGCGATGAAAAATAGGAGGAAGGTGAGGGAGAGGAAAGCCGTCGCTGGGAAGTTGTAATAGGAAATTGCTTTTGGCAACTATTTGTTCAAGCACCACATTTTTTTCTTCCTTTTCTTTCTTATGCCAACCCAGCGAGACCCTATTGGAAAACAGGGCAGGTCCCCCTAATGAGTAATCTATTTCAAAGCAGTCGTGTCTGGGCATGACAGTTTACTGAGAGGCTTGAAGAACTGGTAATTACCAGTGTTACGGGGCAATTAATGCATATTACACTGCGGCACTCATGGCGGTGACTGTCAGCTCCCCAATAAAAATGAGCACTCTTCAGCTAAAGGGTGACATTAATTGGGTCCTTAATGACTATGCAGAGGAACCAAGCCAAATAGGAACAAAACAGGGGACTCGCTCCGACTCCAGCAGAAGGCTGGAAATTGGACTAAAAATGAGATTAATTGCTGTTTAGAGAAAAAAAGAGAAGAGGAAAAATGTGGCGAAGGAAAGAAAGGGGGAAGAGGTTTGAATTATAGGGTGCGGAGAGCAAAGGCTTCACATACAAATGACGGCCCAATTATTTATTCTATACTGGATCTACTATACCTTAAAAAAAAAAACTGTACTAAAGACTTTTAAATTCAGCGCAGCAACAACAACTGTTTTCTTTATCGAGATTAAATGTTATAACGGTGAAAAGAAGGATGTCACACTCCGACTGGAGCACGGTGAAATCTGAGTCTTTGTGGTTTCTGTTTTGATCCTGCATTTATTTAAGTGCATGTGTTTACATTCAGCTCCAAGCAGGCAGTATGAAAGGCAGGGCAACCAAGTGGAAACTTTAATTTTTGCCCCTTTTATCCACTGTGTCTGGATCGTTTATCCCTAATGTACTGACCATAGTAAAGCTGCTGTTACATCCTGTGGATGGATGTTGATTTATTTGTCGTTAGCATTGACTGTTTCGGCTTTTTTTTAAGTGCTAATGATTATTAAAAAATTTATTTGTCGTTAGCATTGACTGTTTTGGCTTTTTTTTAAGCTATTTTAAGTGCTAATGATTATTAAAAATTTATTTTACTGATTTTTTTTTTTTTTTTGCAAGTTTTAGGTGAAATTTTGTTTTAATGGATTTTATTATGAATTTTATTTATTTAAACTTCTATGCCATTTCTAATACTTAGCAATTTAACTCACTCTT